ATATATATATTGATGCCTTACCTCTAAGGTGCTGTTGAGGAAAGTTGGGGTGACGGGGTTTTGTGCTGAGTCGATGGGTGCGGGCCCATAGCTGGTCCCTGGGGTTAGGGGTTCCCCTTCTGGCTCCATGGTCCCCCCCACCCCCCAGAGAACAGTATGGAGTCCCACTAGTAAACAGCCTGCCTACATCGTGCAGCCTCCTCTCCTTCTGGAAAACATTCACACATGAACTCGCACTGAAGTTTTTCCGTGATGGAAAACTTTCCTGGAGCTAATTGCACGGAGAATGATTTTTAAACCAGCATAAAACACACCATGTATCAGCCTCATTTAATGGCTTAATCTGGAGAATCTGTCGTGGTTCAGCTGTCTTGTGTATTTTCTCTTTAAAAAAAATTTGGCAGCTGCAGCTTTCGGACTGTCTGACCTATTTTCACAATATGTCTGGTTTTAAAGAATGAAACGGAGCGCTCGAATGGTTACATAAATAAGTGGCCTTTATATTCAGGCCCTTGTCCTCACTGCTGCCCCTCTAGAAAAAAAAAGACAGGAAAATGCCCGGGCACATCAAGGTGTCCCACGGGTTGGCCTCTGTCGCTTCAGAGGACGTGGCTCTTATCGATCCGGTCGCTGTCAGGTGATTTGGAACAGCAACGCATCCGTGCACGTTGCCTTTGAAACCCAGACGCCCATAAACTGCAGGTTTTTTTAGGGTTTTTTTTAGTGCAAATACTCACTGAAATCGGCCTGGTTTGCGGATCGCAGGGAAAGGCTGCCTCTTTAAGCACCGTTCGTCATACTTTGAGGACGGAGCTGAAGCTTTACGCACCGCGACGATGCTGGCAAGAAGCTTTGACTGCTCCCATGGAGGAACTTGCTCTTTTTAATCGGCGCTCGGGTGTTTTGCAGGGATCCCTTGGAGATGCCAGGCAGAGGACTCCATGTTATTTGGCTTGCAGGCACGCCACGGCTGCGTACGTAAACGTCAGCGGGGAGGGTGACGAGAAGAGTTTCGAGTAACCCACCGGAGGCAAGTTTACTATGTCAAACTTTTACGAGTGCTTCGATCGCAGGCTCATTTCTCTAATTCTGTGCGTATTTATGTGGCGGACACTTTATTCACAGCGATCAAATCATGGTGACTCTGTTTTTTTTCTCGGAGGGAAATGCACGCGTGAGCAGCGTAAGCACGCCACAGTAATAATATTTCTTTAAATGCGTTTTATTTTGTGTAAATAGGTATACTATAAATAAAGGTTATGCGGTATCTGCGTACATTTGTCAACACCTATGTGGCTCGCCATAGTAACGCTGTTGTGAATGACATATTTGCGTATCATAATATGTAATAACACTGTGATAGTAACACCTGAACAATGTTTGTCGGTTACTTTGTGTATCAAAATCCCCCAAATGCTAAACAAAATCAATATACGCCTTTCCGATTGTTATATGTCGTCAACCTGCGCCCCCTGTTGGTCACACCTATCTGTAAATATCCATATCTCGTTGCATATACATGTAAAAAATTGTAAGGCCGGATTTATGTCAGGATAGGGGGCAAACAGAAGGGGGAAAGTGATGATTATGAGTTACTAAATAGTGGAAAAGGGGCATTAAGTAAGCTAATGCTTCTTCCTGCTCCTTTTTGAACATGTTATTTATTATGATTATGATCATTATGTTTTGTTTTGTTTCTCTTTGTTCTTGTATTGTTTGAACATTTTCAAAATAAGGCTACAATATGTAATTTTTCAGAAACTGTGGGTCAGTTTCTCCAAATTCTCTGCACGAAATGAACGAAGGTCACTGCTTTGATAAGTTATTTTGCATCTCATGCAAAAATACGTTCCATCAAATCGTTTCCTTCCACAAAACCAATACACACAGCTATGAAAAACTGACATCTTGCTGATGGATTTAAAACACTACCGTCAGAAGTGGTCAGTAAAGGCTTCTTGAGGCCATGTTACACACACACACACACACACACACACACACACACAGAGAGAGAGAGAGAGAGAGAGAAAGCTCTTCAGCTGAACTGACAAAAAAATAAAAAAGCAAATTGCCTGCCACTGTCTGTGTTCCTGCTGCTCCATCTTCTTGCCTAACACCTGGATGAGTCACTTAAGATTCCTTTTGTATTCTGACACATACTGAAATGTTCTTCCGATTGACTTTGCATAAATGCAGAATGAGTAATTGGAAATCTGCATTTTGAAGCCCAGTGTTCCTAGGTGAACAGAGCGTGCTAAATGATGCAATTTGAGTTTGCAAAACTGTGATTTAGAAAGATATTTGAGTAAGACCAACAGAAAAGGGCAATTTGGAATCGTCAATACGTGAGCTCAGTGTTTTCAGCACTGTGTGCATGATTTCATTTGTTAAAATAAGCAAAACTGCTGTAGTTAAACATCAAAGCAAAGGCATACTTTCAAAAAATACATTTTTCTGATTAATTAATATGTACATCACTTAAATGATGCAGCTGGTGAAGGTGTTTTTTAAGTACCTTGTACACTTATGAGCAGTTTGGGAATTTCCTCAGTGATATATAACACTGTAATAACCACTGCTAATACATTTTTAGTTAATTACACTTTACTGTACAGAACGGTGTCACTGCTTATTTTGTCATTTTGTAATGAATAATTATATTCTGGTCTGCCAGTCGTTAGTTATGATTAGTAGTATCTTTGTTACAGGTTTATATATGAGTTATAAACTGTGTTGCGTGTTGCATCATAGATGATATGAGACAATGACATCTGTACACATACCACTTTATACACTGTGTTCTGTGTTTGGTTAATGATTACAAATGTTATTATCTGTTTTGTATATTACTGATCAGTGAGACTGACCTTACTGTAAATTCATTGTGTTTTGATTCAGTGGACGAATTCCAATCTGAACACAACTGCTTTTGTGACTAAACAGGACACAAACTGCAGTCCCCAGTGTTGTAATGTATGGCGGTCCCAGTACCCCTGCCTACTTATACATAGCATATGACAATAATTTCCTACAAGACAACTGTTACCAGTAAGTAAGCCCTAATATTTATGTTGTTGTTAATGTCAGTTTACCCTTTAGTAATAACGGTTATTATAATGTATTGCCAAAGAAATGATGTAAGTAGTACCTTAAAGTTTCAAATAATTGAAATTTAGTATAGTCAGTGTATCATCTGAAAATGTATAATGAAACAACTGAAAAGTGAAGTACTAAGGTAAAGTACTGTGAAAGTATATAAGCTGAGTAAAGTATTCAGATTTTTTTTTATGAAAGTAAAGTTTTGTTTCTTTAATTCAGTTTCTATAACACATAGTATATCATTATTGCCAAAATAAAACCCACAAGTATACAGTCATGTGACACACTCCATCTCATGGAAATCAATGCTTCGCTGTATAGTTGAAAAAGCAAAGTCTTGATCGTTTTAGAAACAGAAACAGGATAGATAAAAGTGACAGTCAAAAGAAAGAAACATCAAACAACCTGAAGTATTTCCATGATTCCAGTAAGTATATTTTTTAAAATACCATCATCAGTCAGCTCCACATTCAGGTATTCCAGCCCAGGGTCCTGTTATTGCAAACTTCTTATATAAACTGTTGACATTGCCGGTCTGCCGTCCTTTTTGCTGTTGAAGTGTTTGCTGTTGCCACATCAAGCTCTGAAGAGACCTTCAGCAAAGCATTTGACTTTAATGTGAGTTTAATGAGGCATTTTATTCAGATATCACCACATTATTTCAAATGACTAATTTCACTGTTAAAAAAGAAAAAAAAATGGCTTGCCTGGGAAAAAAGAAACAAAAAGGAGTCTTCACGACAACCCCAAAATGTCATCAGAGGACTTCCTCTTGTAAGTGTTGATGTCAAAGTCCATGTTTCTAAAATTCTGCCTGCATGGAAAGCATGCAAAGACGGAGAGAATGGCTTTGTATGCCAAAACTAGCCTGAGGGAAAGGCTCAGATTTCTGGCCAGAGCAAGTTGGTAGAGGCTTTGCATGCTCTCATGTAACATACAGGCAAAGAGGAGAGCAGCTTCTGGTCATTGATTCAATTATGTGAAAAGTCTGAAAGTTAAACCAGAAATGGAAGTTTAAGCAGAAGAGGGATCTTTAGGACACTGGTGAATCCACCGTGGAATGGCTCAAAAAGAAGAAATGGAGGGTTGTGAAATAGCCCAAGATCTGAATCCCACTGAAATCTTGTGGGGGATTCGGAATGGGCAATACATGCAAGAAAAGCCGCAAACATGTTGCAACAGAAGGAATTTCACATGGAGAAGCGGTCAGAAATTTCAAGCAATGTCAGCAGCCAGAGAACACTTATGCAAATCAGCTGTAATACATGACTTCTGCTGATGTCACGTAGAAGAATATCAAAAACTAACTGAAGAAAAATCTTTCTTAACAACAGTCTCTGTTTCAGGAAGAATTTTTTTTAAAAGCCAGCAGTTTGCATTGGATGTACTTCATCATCATATTAATCGCTCTTCTGATGGAATCCCAAAAAAAGGTACTTACTTAATGCAACGCATGCCACAGAGTGAAAAAGAAATGACAACAAAGCAGCCCATAAAAATAAGTCTAATATTTGTTGTGTGATGTTCTGGTGTATCCCAGCCTCTTTATTTCTGGACATCCTAAGAAAAAGAACAAAAGAAAAGAAAGTAAGTCATATAAGAAGGCCGAAAAGAGTGGAGCATTTGCAGAAATAAAAGTAGGGCTGCAACAGGTCTTTAAAGACTCTGTATTTCACCACATTCATGCTTTCATCAATTCTGACCTGTTCCTACAGCCTCGAATCACCCACATAGCATGATGCTGCCACCCTATGCTCTGCCATAAAGGCTCGATGAATAAAATGAAACAGTCGACCTTCACTCAGGTTGCACCGTCTTCACAAAGAACTTCTGAAGGTTCCTTCTCTTTGAGTAACCAGGTGGGAGGGGGTTTCTCACCTCCCTGACTAGGAGCTACATCAGGAAAAGTTGCGGATCCAAAAACCTGCGCAATTATTTTAATGCTGCTATTTAAAATCCTTAACTTGAGCTTCACAGCATCACAGTTTTATTACCTACATGCTGCAGAGAGTGTCCTTCCATCTAGACAGAAATTGCATGGTGAGGGTCACCTTCTTTGATTTCTCAAGTGCATTTAACATGATTCAGCCACTGCTACTGACTGCAGTTTGTGAGATTAGATACGGCTCTGCCTGATTTGGCGATGTGCAGTGCGGGAGCCCCTCTGGGGACTACACTTTCTCCGTTCCTGTTCACCTTGTACACCTCAGACGCTTTCCATAACTCTGGGTCATGCCACCTATAGAAAGACTCTGACAGTTCTGCAGTGGTTGGATGTGTCATTGATGGGAAGGCGGAGGAGTAGGAAGCACTAGTGGATTATTTTTGTGGAACGTTCTGGGAGAACTCGTCTACTTCTGAAGGTGAATAAGACCAGAGAGATTTGATCGACTTCAGATTAAAGAAAAAGTGCTGCGCAGTGATGAGTCACGTTAATGACCCACAATGGCAACAATTTGGAGTATCACATCAGGAATAGTTTTAATATACATGTGGGGAAATAGGCATTCTAACTTATAATGCTCTAAATGCTTACTAAGGCATTATCAGAGGACAATCACTGAGTTAAACAAGCTGCATAGCAACCCATCTAATGTCTGATAACACATTTCATTAGCTGATATATATACAACAACCCCTTAGTAACCCTAGAAGAAAGACTAGATTACCATCAAAGTTTTTTTAGTAGTGATGTAAGGATCTGTCTAAACATTTTCAATTAGTTAGCACATTGTGGTGAAAAACGCCACACACACACACACACACACACACACACTTCAAAATTCCTACATACCCCAAAATGTTTCCAGGTCTTGATCTCACTGTACAGAGCATCTCCTGGGCAAGCGGTGTTCACCATCTGTCTGTGGCCCCTCAGGGTAAAAGTGGGTATGAGTCGCCCGCCAATGATAGCACAGCTTGCCAGCTGGTCTCTCACCAGCTCCATGGCGTGCTGAGAGGGCAGAATGCTGCTGTAGTCTCCAATGAAGGAAACGCCGTAGCCGACAGAGTTGTAGCCGAGGGTGTGGGCTCCTTGCCAGTACCATCCTCGGCCCTCGTAGATGTTCCCGTCGGAGCCCGCAACGAAGCTTTTGGAGAGGACAGAGACTCTTAGACGGTGTGAGCTGGTTGCGAAGATGTCACGTGTGAAAACGTCTACGTACCTGTATCCGATGTCATCCCAGCCTCTGTCCTCCTGATGAAAACGCTGCATGGAGCGCATGTCTGCAGAGCACTGCTCAAAGGTCAGACAGGGCTGGCTGGGCGTGCTAGTGTGGTGGATGAACATGAAGGAGAGAGGCAGCGAGAGGTTGGTGGGTGTTCCTATGTACGGCTTTGCACCCCACATACACCGAGGAACGATGGGTGGGCAATCTGAAACAGATCAGAGTTTGTTACATGTGACGTTATGCTCGTATTTTGATGGATCTTCTTAACTTTCTTATGTACTGGTCACAGACCACACTGCTGTTCTAAAACCTTTCACTTGGTCTGTGTTTTAAGTTTTATGCTCACCCATGTACATATGGACAAACTCCTTCATCCCCTCCTTCACCTCTCTCATCAGCACCTTCTTCTCCTTCCTCTCCATATCTGACTGTCCTGTCAGACTCTGCTGCAGCTGTACAGATTTCACCACCTGTCTGGCCAGCAGCAGCGGGACAACCAACTGTCTGAAGTTCTCCCTGCGGCGTCGGCTGATGAGGCGTGGGGCGGTGTCCAGTCCTTTACCCTCCAGCTGGTGGCAGTAGTACTCTGTCAGCAGACTGCTGAGCTTGAGAGGATGTCTGGATTTGTCAGAAACCTCCAACCCCAGCACGACGCCATCCATGCCTCCATTGACTTGAGCGGTGGTGAGCAGGGAGGGGCTGTCCGAGAGGGTGAACACTTGAGGAGAGCTTAGGTTGTCCCAGCAGCCGTCGGGTCCCAGACGCCGCGTCACAGTTGGACTCTGCCTGAGGGAAAGGCCCAGATCTCTGGCCAGAGCAAGTAGGTAGAGACCTCGAACGCGTCCTCGAGTCTTGGCAAGTAAACCGGCCTCGATGCCCAGGAGGAGCGGTCTGAGGGCAACAGTGGTACCATCAGGAGTTAGGACCACCCCTTCCTCTTTGGCGTCTTCTGTCACCCTGTGATGCACAGCTTTTCTAATGTAATCTGAAAGGTTAGCAGCCAGTTCAGGCACTCCAGAGAGATCACTGAAAAGGAAGTACTGAATAAACGGGTCATTGACCTCAGCTGCCCGCCGCAGCCTCTTCAACACAGCTAGCGGCTCTGACCCAGGGTCCTCATCTTCCACCTGCTTTACTGCACTGATGAAGTCTTCCATCCGATATGAAAATGAAGCTGAAGAGAAGAAAAGAAAAATTGTCATTCAAACTAAAGCCCATCATTTCTCCCCCATACAAACCTTCCTTTGTTTCTAAGTTTAAACACAAACTGATTTAACCAAAGGAGACGTGGCGAGGAGAACAGCGGCACTAAAAGACTTTGACTGAAGAAAGGCAAATATTGCCTGCAGTGTTTTTATTATGCTCAACAAGTGGGAAGTAAAGTGGCCAGCCAACTGTTCCAGCAGTTGTCTCGATGATTAAATGAAACCAACAGTTGGAGGAAAAAGCCACAGAAATCTTTTTTCAGCATAATCAGAAGTGACTTTAGGCCAAGCTACAGCTGACATTTCTCCCCCTATCAGGCTGAGAACGATTTTGCCCATTTCTTGGTCTCAGATGTGAAAAAGAAGAGTCAGAAAAAAAGTCTTACACAAAGCCATTTCCAAAAATACTTTTTTTTGTCTTTTCTTTTCTTTTTTGATTGGTTGGTTGGTTGGTTTTTAGGGCAGATTTTTCTTACTTCAGCAAGAACATGTCAAACCACATCCTGCATGTGTTACAGCAGCACGGTTCGGTAGGAAAAACCGTCCCGGTGCGACTAAACTGGCCTGCACGCGCCCCAGACCTGTCACCCTCCAAAAAGCAAATGAATCACGGTAAAAACAGCAAACATGACAAAGGGGGCCCCAGCCTGTTGGGCAGCTGAAATCTTTATTTTGGCAAGAATGAAAAAAGATTTTGTTATCAAAATGATAAAAGCTGATCGCCTCCTTGGAAATGTATGTTTTCTATTTGCATAAGATTAGAATCGAGTCCTTAAACTGAAAGAAGTTTGGACCGGTAGACACGCAAGTAGAGCGAGGAATTAGTCAACAAGGGAAAGAAAGAAAGAAAGAAAATGAAAGCAAATACAGTTTCTTGATCTGAATACATGCATACAATCGAGCTCATAAAACAGGTGAAAACAGTGAAGCAACCCTACCCTCCACACACGTGCTGACCAACAGCACCAGAAAGACCAGGCTCAGCTTCCAGCAGACTCTGTCCATCTTGAGATGTGAACACCTTCAGCTCCGCACTTCCAATGTGTCTGCCTTAATGGCTCTCTTATTTATCACATGCAGTAAAGGGAGTGGTTATGTAACAGTTGTACACGCACACACACAAATACACAGAGTAGATAGGCCTCAGTTTAATCTGTTGGTGTGGCCGTCTGAGCAATGTGGGAAACTGGCACCTGCAATATAAGCAGCACGAAGTGGTTTGTCCTCAGTGGTCAAGGTCTTTCCGTGTACCTCACAGTGATCCACTTGGACATTTTCGAGAATTTCTCAAGTTCTGTAATAAATCTCAGTCATCTCGTTTTGCGTGCCGCAGCTTCTGGAAATAACAGCAGACTGCAGAAGAGTGTTCACTACAGTACAAATCACTGGGAGTCCACTGTGAGGCAATACACATGTTCATGTTAGTGTGGAGAAAACACACAGCGCTGGGCTGCAAAACTGTGGAAGTCCCCCCCAAAAATATGAATCACGTGTGTTCTCAGCAGCAGCCGCAGAAATGTACAACAAAGATCTTCATGTTCACTGAGGTTTATATGGTGACACGATCATTGCTGGAAATCATGTCACAGTACATGTGCACGCACTGCAGAAAGTCAAGAGAAAAAGTTTCAGACTGGTTTTTGCAACTGTGCCATGATTACAAGAACAGGAAGTGGAGGTCCAAGTGTAAAGTCCAGTGCAGAAAGTCTGGGATGCAGATAATAAAGGTCAGTGATGTAAATAAAAAAGATCTTCTAAAAGCAGAAACGAGAAGGACATGGTGGAGTCAGTAAGACCAGAGTAATTATTTAAAATTAACTGTGCTAATAGTAATATTATTATTATTAGTAATGATAATAATAATAGCTGTGAAAAATTAGGTTATGTTTTCGGGGGGAAAGGGAGACGTCAATATGGTTATGGTCGTTAATGCCAGATGAAGATGGCTTGTTAAAAAAAAAAATAGGCAAAAAGTAAGGAAAGCAGGGTGCAGTGTGTTGTTGCACTAAAGAGTCCGGCCACTAGATGGCGGTATGCGATTTAACTGTTGGTAATGTTGAGCTGTCAAAGCAGGAAGAAGACGGAGAGGAGGAAGAAAAACTGATCATCAGCTGATTTAGCTCTGACAAGGTGCGTTTATGTTACACAGACGTCCCTGAAAATGAGTAAACCTGCTACAGAATATTATACTCTCTGTGTAAAAGCGTAGCTTTTCATTCCTGCTGTTTTATGTGTAAGATAATCTTTATCGGTAGTGCCGGCTAACAGTTGTAGCGCGATGGCTAACAGCCAGTATTGATCAGCTGTCGTGTCTGTAGAAACTCAGCAAGTCCATTGTGTTTGCAAAAAGCTTGTAACGTGTGTCTGTGTGGTGAAGTCATACCTGGAATTACATTTTTTAATGAGAGGTCTGTGAGTCTGCGGTCACACATTTATTCCCATGTTATTAGTGCCTCCTTTTTGTAAATGTTTAGCATATCAGTATATAAAAGCTAAATTAGCACCCCTGCGGTTCACTAATGTATATTGCCTTTACTGAACATCGCAAATTGTATTCGCATGAAAGGCTAGTCTCTAATATTTGACACAATAAACTTGTTTCACTACTTGAGGGAAAGCACACCAGGCTATGAAAGAGGAGATACTGGAAGCTGGTGATGTGCAACCAAAAAGTAATCAAATGACAGAAGAGCGATAGCACACTACGCTCAAATATAAATGCTAGCAACTTGTGCAAGCGATGTCTGATGGTCTACATAGATTCAACACAAAAGTATAAAGCCTTTGCCGGTTCTCCACTAGCTGTCATGAAAGTGCGCTCCATAATCTTGCCAAAACAAAACGTCTGCATCAGAACATGTAAACCACTGACTGCCATTACTCCCCAACAGAAAATGGACACCCGTTTCACTCGAGGGAAATCCAACATCCTTGAGCGCCCTCTGACCCGACCCAAGACTGAAGTCAGTCTGAGCGCCTTTGCGCTCCTGTTCTCCGAGATGGTACAGTACTGTCAGAGCCGCGTGTACTCCGTGTCGGAGCTGCAGACACGCCTGGCAGATATGGGCCAGAGCGTGGGAGCCAGCATGCTGGATGTGTTGGTGCTGAGGGAGAAGAACGGGAAGAGGGAGACCAAAGTGTTGAACATGCTCCTCTTTGTCAAGGTGAGCAAATGTAATCACACGCATGAGTAACCCTTTTTTATTTTCAAACTCTTAACAGTCATCTTGCTTTTAGGTTAATGTGTGGAAGTCCTTGTTTGGAAAGGAAGCTGACAAGCTGGAGCAGGCCAACGATGATGACAAGACGTACTACATCATAGAGAAAGAGCCGCTTATTAATGCGTACATCTCCGTGCCCAAGGAGAACAGCAGCTTGAACTGCGCCGCCTTCACCGCGGGCATCGTGGAGGCCATCCTCACACACAGTGGCTTTCCCGCAAAGGTCACTGCCCACTGGCACAAAGGCACCACGCTGATGATAAAGTTTAACGAGTCAGTTATAGCCAGGGACAAGGCTTTGGATGGCAGATAAGAAAGATCGGAGGGGGGGAGTTGTTATGTAAATCTGTACAGGATGAGGAGAAATCACGGAGGCCCAGGCTGGTGTTTGTATCTGAAGTGTCTCCTTGTGGTAATTGATGAGACAGGGTGACAATATAAATGGATCACTGTGCTGTACTGAGCCTCATGAGCAGAAAATATGCACCTACATGGTTTTGTGGATCATCTCCTTCCTGTTTTGCCTCCTGATGTGGTTTTATTTTGTAGTTTTTCTTTTGTCACATATTTGCAACAGACAAAAGTTTAAAGCGTAAACAGTAGTAGCATAAACTTTCATGCCACAATGGTCACAGGAATGTAAAAAAATTAAACAAAACATTGGGGCTCTATTTGACAGCCCTTTTTACACCATTTTTAAAAATATTTGATTATTATTGTTTTAGTCTACAAGCTGGCTACAGGAGGCCAACAAAGTAGAGTACCCCTGGTTATGATAATATTAAATCATAACCAACAATGAATCACCACATGACTTGTTTTTAGGGACAAAATATTTTAAGGAGACAGGTTCAAGGTTTTCCCTGCAACCCTGAGCTGGATAAGTGGGATCAAGTGGATGTATGAGTCCATGGTTTGTTTTCTATTTCATTCCAGCTCAGCCTCAGCTTTTGTTTTGTTTGTTTTTTAAATGCATTCATAATCTGGGGCTAGTAATTCTGTGCTAACAACGCAACCACCAGGCTACATCTTACAAATCTATACATTTCTTGGGCCCAGAAATTTTGCGGTGCTAAGCTGAGTTGTTTTTCTTTAAACAGCATCTGTGGAAAAGAGGAAGTAGTTTAGTGTTATTTAAAATACATTTTTGTATTTAGTGTCTTGTCATCGAGTCATTATGTAACACAAAGATGTTTACATGTTGCAAATAAAAACTGGAAGGTTGTGGTTGTTTTTGATGACATGGCTGCTTTTAAGCGAACAAAAGCTGCTTAGCTTATACTAACACAAACATATTTAAAACATGCGCTGAATATTATAATTTATATTATGTCCAGAGGACATATTTGTTACACTGAGGGAAATAAATATGGTCATTTCCAGGTCTGACTGTAATGTCTATAGCAATAACTAACATTGGGTTTATTTCATTTTTTTAAATAACAACAAATCGCAGCACTAGTGAATGTTAGTGTGTGAAGAAAGCTCCCCATTTACATGAACTAATTCAAATCTTCACGATAGATATGATTCAACCCACTGCAGCGCAGAACCTTTAATATCTACAGTGTGTTCTAATTTCTAGTAAAATATTGTGTTCAACGGTATTAAACGCTGCACTGAGGTCTATCAGGACTATGATAGGCTCTGAAACCCGAATGAATCTCTTAAAATAAACCATTCCTCTGCAGATGGTGAGTTAGCTGAATGACCATTTTACAACTCTGTAGTTTCAGCCTGGGAGCACATTCTGTTCCTAGAGCCCACCAGTAAGCAGGCTTAGGCGTGACTCCTACAACCACACAGCCCTGATGTATCTGACAGAAGCCATAATTAACCTGAAATGGATAGAGACTCATGGGAAATTGTGTTCCAAATAAGCCATGCGGCATTAAATGCTACTGAGGAAAGCTCCGAGTATAGGTTTACAACTCATGCATTTGTGTCCCTTAATAAAAATATGAGAAGTATAAGTAAGAAGAGGAAATTGTGGTTGTTTGATTTAGTTTGGTTCTGGTGTTACCCAATATAACAAAGACATTTTGAATGCGGAAATCAGAAGTTGTGGTTGTGTGAATAGAGCTAGCATCCCTTTTGTTTCAGCCTGTATGCTAAAATAAGCTAACAGTCTGCTGACTGCTTCATATACAGACATGAGTGATATCTCTATACAGTGGCTTGCAAAAGTATTCGGCCCCCTTGAACTTTTCCACATTTTGTCACATTACAGCCACAAACATGAATCAATTTTATTGGGATTCCACGTGAAAGACCAACACAAAGTGGTGTACACGTGAGAAGTGGAACAAAAATCATACATGATTCCGAACATTTTTTTACAAATCAATAACTGCAAAGTGGGGTGTGTGTAATTATTCAGCCCCCTGAGTCAATACTTTGTAGAACCACCTTTTGCTGCAATTACAGCTGCTAGCCTTTTAGGGTCTGTCTCTACCAGCTTTGCACATCTACAGACTGAAATCTTTGCCCATTCTTCTTTGCAAAACAGCTCCAGCTCAGTCAGATTAGATGGACAGCGTTTGTGAACAGCAGTTTTCAGATCTTGCCACAGATTCTCGATTGGATTTAGAGCTGGACTTTGACGGGGCCATTCTAACACATGGATATGTTTTCTTTTATACCATTCCATTGTTGCCCTGGCTTTATGTTTAGGGTCGTCGTGCTGCTGGAAGGTGAACCTCCGGCCCAGTCTCAAGTCTTTTGCAGACTCCAAGAGGTTTTCTTCCAAGATTGCCCTGTATTTGGCTCCATCCATCTTCCCATCAACTCTGACCAGCTTCCCTGTCCCTGCTGAAGAGAAGCACCCCCAGAGCATGATGCTGCCACCACCATATTTGACAGTGGGGATGGTGTGTTCAGAGTGATGTGCAGTGTTAGTTTTCCGCCATACATAGCGTTTTGCATTTTGGCCAAAAAGTTCCATTTTGGTCTCATCTGACCAGAGCACCTTCTTCCACATGTTTGCTGTGTCCCCCACATGGCTTGTGGCAAACTGCAAACGGGACGTCTTATGGTTTTCTGTTAACAATGGCTTTCTTCTTGCCACTCTTCCATAAAGGCCAACTTTGTGCAGTGCACGACTAATAGTTGTCCTCTGGACAGATTCCCCCACCTGAGCTGTAGATCTCTGCAGCTCGTCCAGAGTCACCATGGGCCTCTTGGCTGCATTTCTGATCAGCGCTCTCTTTGTTCGGCCTGTGAGTTTAGGTGGACGGCCTTGTCTTGGTAGGTTTTCAGTTGTGCCATACTCCTTCCATTTCTGAATGATCGCTTGAACAGTGCTCCGTGGGATGATCAAGGCTTGGGAAATCTTTTTGTAGCCTAAGCCTGCTTTGAATTTCTCAATAACGTTATCCCTGACCTGTGTGGTGTGTTCTTTGGGCTTCATGGTGTTGTTGCTCTTAGATAACCTCTGAGGCCTTCTTATTCTTCTTCTTTCATGTTTAACGGCAGCTTGCATCCAAAAATGTTGCATTACTGCCATCTCCTGGCTTTTAATCTTGCTTCACTCCTGAATCCTCAGATCCTCTTTATGAGACCAGTATTTCTCAAAAAGCGAAAAAACTCTTTCCCTTCACCATGACTTAACTTATTAACTACTTGCGCAAACGTAAGTTCTCTTCAATAAACAATAATTATTTTATCTTAAGTCTTAATTAATAAAACTGTCATAAAACATAAAACAAAACAAAAAATGAGTAATAACCGGAACATTAGCTCAACATTTGCCCTGAATTTAGTCTTCCCAGCAGCAATAGCTTACAGGCTAGGCATTAGTCACATGATGGAGTCACGTGGTCATAAGGAAGCGGCGATGTGTTTACCTATGTGTCATCCGCAGACTGCGACAGCAATCGTCTTTTATTTTACGATGTAAACAAATAATATGACCCCGCGTCTGCTCTCTACTCGCTTTTTATGAGTGTGATGTACCCTTCCGCTGCTCCTGTGCGAACGTGAACGCATCACCATGGCATCTTCTAGTTACACCTGCATCCAAGACAGCGCCACAGGTTTGGCAACATTCAGTCCTCTCTTTTATTATCTCTCTTCACCTGTATTACTCTTTGTACCACGGATTGGTACGCATTCATTTGCTAGCATCATATTACGTTATTTTATTTTTCATGTATTTGTTTATTTATTTATTTTTAAAGAGGCGGGTCCATCTGTGAAAATTTGCTAAGGTGTGATATCGAACAATGAAAGAAACACGTCCGCTCCGTGTATTTATTCACAGGTGACTCGAGGCTCAAAGGATCATTCCGCCGATTTTGGACATTTAAAGTTTTGTTTTGTTTTTTTTGTTTTTTTGAAAATAAACGCTTTAAAGGTTTCCGCTTTGACATCTACAACCGGTGGTTCTTAAAATCATCACAGTTAGCGAGCCCAAGATGACGTCATCGAATAGCATGGACAGTTCAGCCATGTTTGTTTTGATGATAATCACATAAAAATCTTTCTACAGTCAAGCAATTTATAAAATTCTATTAAGAGACCCAGCAGGATAATTCGATTTTTTTTAAAATCTTATTTCGACTTTGGGGGAATTGCCATTCAGATACAGTATAAATACTGCCTGTCTGTCAGTCTAGTTGAGAACATGCAGTTGCAATCAGGAGAAGACTGCTGACTTGACAGGCTTCCCTCTATGCCAGCAGGATGAGCCACAGACAGCTATTTTTGCTGTTCACAGAATGCATGTTGATAAAAGTTGAGGAAGGAAAATAAAATGTCCACAAGCAACAGGGGTGACTGCAACCTTGAGAAAAGTCAATTCAAGGACTTGGCAGAGAACGGAGCTGCGAGTGTCACGTTCCTGATGTCAGACCGCTCCTGAACCAGAGATAATGTCAGAAGAGCTTACCTGGGGCACAGAACCCAAGTTGTTTGAAGTCTAGTGTGACATTTCCACAGTCTGTGGTGACTTGGGGTGCCATGTCATCTGCTGGAGTGGAGCACTTCATGCTTCTGACTGCCAAGCTTTATGGAGATGCCAATTTCCTTTTCTAGCAGGGTGCCAGTGGGTCCAAAACTACTACCAAATGGCATTTAGATACGTGCTTAATTAGCAAACCAATTCACCTGATCTGAAGGCCGCACAGAATCTGTGAGGTACTGTTTAGACGGAGATGAGAAACACTTGACCCCAAACACAGACGAGCTGAAGGCAACTACCAAAGCAACCTGAGCTGCAGTGACACGTCAGCAGTGTCAAAAGCTGATCGCCTCCATGCCACAGTAATTCATTATGAAGAACCAAAGCAGGATTCATTGTATAAATAAACATGCTTTTCAGAACCTGGGCTTTTATCTGTTGTAAACTCTTTTTTATTTAATGATTTTATGTAATATAATCATTAAGATACTGGATTTTTGTTTTTCAGGAGCTACAAGTGGTAATCTTGGATCATGCTTGGATCATTTTTGAGCATTTACACATTTAAACATGAAAGTTATCAGCCAGCGTTAGCTTGGTTATACTAAGCTGTGAAATTGCACCACATACAGGCAGGGAGACCAGCTAACACTGCTAAGTAACAGAATTAAAGACACTCTCCAACCACTTTTCCAGGATAAAAGGGGTTAATTCATATTGTCACTTGTTAGTAACCCAGCAATGTATAATGTCTTGAGTACCTCTTTAATGCTGAGCTTCTTTCCAAAATGAATGGTTTTATTAACAGAGAAGGACAAGCTGCTCTCCTCTGTATCAGGCTATGGCTCCCAGGATCTTCTTGGAAGTGGCAGCTCCCGCCCTCCTACCCTGGTGGGCTCCAAGCTCCTCCAGCAGGAGGAAGAAGGAGAGGAGGAGGCCCTGAGGAGGAAACTCAAGTATTTCTTCATGAGCCCTTGTGACAAGTATCATGCAAAGGGGCGCAAGCCTTTCAAACTTGGCCTGCAGCTGCTGAAAATCATCATTGTGACTGTGCAGGTGGATACAGCTCTTTGATTTAACATGAATACTCTGTAGGCTCAGAATGCAAATACCCGATCATGTCCTGTGTTTTATTCTAACTGTGCAGCGACTGCTTCTCTGCATTTGCCTGAGTGTTTCAGCTCATTTGTCTTGTGCCTGTGCTCTCTGGCTCTGTCTATTAGTTGGTGATGTTTGGACTGAGTAACCAGATGGTTGTGACGTTTCAAGAGGAAAACACAGCGGCATTCAAGCACCTTTTCCTGAAGGGCTACAAGGACAAGAATCCCCACGCTGTCCACACACAGATGGAGATGTACAGGCACATCAACTTTGCCATAGAGCAGGTAGCCTGCTAATAACCATTTTAAGAGACATTTTGAGATCTCTTGATTTATTATTATGACCAGAATTTTGTTTAATATGATTTTTTTAATGATTTTTTTAAGCCATGCATACATTAGATATGCTTGATATTAATAAGTGTTTTTTCATGGTATTATTACTTACAATGGACCCTAATACACTGTTGTAACACTGACTGCAGATTTCCACTCCACACAAAAACCCAACAAAACAAAGGTCAATCATAGGCTTGAGGGGAAAACAGGACTACTGCAAAGCTAGCTGAGCTATTATCTTTAGCAGTTGTATTGTTTACAATGTTTACTAGCTTAGCTTAGAATTGAGTGTGTGAATAAGCGCAGAAACACAGACTGCAAATGACGTCTGTTTGTCTGCATTTGCAGACAATGAAGAAGTGGATGTAGTAGTTAGATGGAAAAAGTTGCTGCTGTAGGCTATGCACAGTAACAGATGTGGGTGGGGGGAAGTCAGTCCAATAAAGTATCCCAATATTTTTGACATTGATCACTACAAGAACACCAAATATTGAGATTTTATTAAATACATTAAAATAGTCTACGAGCGAGAAGGCTCATCTCATGCGCCACCATCCTGAGATGTTGTTAGCCAAGAAAACTTACATTAAATGGGCTCAACTGAAAAACCATCCAACACTGAACACACTCAGCTTGTTAAAGCTACCTCCTAATTAAGAGCAAGCTAATGGCTCAGTCACATGACCACAAACAGGAAAGCAACCTCCTTGCATCCATAAAAAAAGCAGCGGCTGCCTGGTGATTGTATAGATTTTTTTTGCATTCTGCAACTGATTGCACAGGTCGCCCAACAGGAGGCAACCTTTCTGCAAACAGTTTCAGTCTTACTTGGACTGACTGCAGTCACTCTCAGAGAGATCATTGAAGGTTTGCAAATAACTGCTGTCTAATTTATAAAAGCAGAAATGTTGCCAACATGTTGCCATCAGTCTGAATGACTCTTTGTCAATGAAAACAACTCAAGTGGGCTTGACTCAACTGGTTGGCAGCTGGTTGTATTGTGGTTATATTCCTGTAGTAAATGTGAATTTCTGTTTATGTAGACAGCAACAGATGCGATTTCAGAGAATTTATCACAGTTATTTGGTGTATTACCAGAAACACTTTGCATGCAATTGCAGATTGAATCTTATGGCAACATTAATGCAGGTTTTAGTGACAGTGCTTGTAATCTCAAATTAAAGTAAAATAACTTCATTGTATTGTGTAAAAAAAGATATTGACAAAGTTCAACTTGGTGATAAATCGTAACATATCTTATTCCATACCAAGCACATAACACAAAGTTAATAAATGTGATAAAAGTGCAATAATATTTTGGGGTGTCTGGTGATTTCCACCTCTAGTAATTGAGACATATTTCTGGAAAGAGATGCCGCTGTCGTGTTGCCATCCTGACTGAACAGCGTTCTTTTTAGTGAGAGCTACATTGTTACTTTCTGAACGTGAAAAGTTTAACATCGCATAAAGAAGACAGATGTTTTCTCGAGCTTAATTCCACCTCTCGGCTTCTCTTTCCCTCTTCAGTACTTGGCTCTACCTCAGATCTCACTGGGACGGTACGCTTATGTGCCGGGTGTCGGCGTTAACGGAAGCGCGCTCTCCCTCTGTCAGAGGTACTTTAGGAGGGGCACCATCGACCCCGTCAATGACACGTTTGACATCGACCCACATGTTGTCACAGGTAGGATAATCCTTCTTTTGATTTTGTTTTTCTTTATGTTTTAAAGTCTACTTGTTTGTTACACGTCTGTCTGCACATTCTTCAAGTGCCAGTATTTCCCTTAAGGAACCAATAGTGTCAGTGAGTCACTGTGTTATTGCTCCAGTGCCCTGCAACTGTGCCCTACTTTTAAAGACTTGAGTCCTGTAATGAAAAACACAGACCTTTTTTTTTTTCCACTTTAGTAGCAAAAATACTGTGTCCGGTCCTGGGAAAGGGGTTATTTGCGCACATCTGCTGATTTGGCAGATGGCTATGGCTAATGCATGATAAATGTAGTGGTAAAAATAAACCGTGGTGTGGCATTCATGTGATATGGAAAAAATCATGTATGACTTAGTTCCTCTTTTGCTATTTCTGATTTTCCTTTTTCCAGATTGTATTGGACTGGACCCACTGACGTACAGCGCTGCTCCAGGAAACAGTGACTACAAGAATTTCACTCTCCTGTTTTACAAGTTAGAGACTCTGTTATGTTTGTGTGTTTTGGTATTAAAGAGGTATTGCTTTTCTTTGCAATGTGAATTCTGCACATTGAATCCTCAGCATGTCTCTTTCCTCCCCAGGCTGATCAATGTCACCATTGACTTCCAGCTGAAGGCCATCAACATTCAGACCATTATAAATAATGAAATCCCGGACTGCTACACCTTTGCTATCACAGTGAGCTCCTCTATGATCTCAAATTCAGTCAACATCCCACAGAATAGAAAAACTAAAAATGTTGTTTTTTACATGCTAATTGTTACATGGTTCATGCTTTTGTCGTCAGATTGTGATGGATAACAGGGCGCACAGCGGTAAAGTTACGATCAGTCTTCAGAACCGTGCCTCCATTAAGGAGTGTAAAGACCCTAATGTGACTGGACGTGGTGAGTGACTGGTGGTTAGGGGTGATATTTATTTACCTGCCGCTTCATTTATTTTAATTGCCTTTGATCCCTTTTATTTCTGTCCTCTTTTTTCAGCCGAGAATTATGCGCAGGAGTTCTTTGATGTGCTGGTGGCCATCGTCTGCGTGCTGTCCTTGCTGCTGTGTGGACGCTCCATCCTCAGAGGCATCCTCCTGCAGCATGTAAGAAAACTGGCCAACAATTTCTGTATTTTTTTGTTTTTGTGATGTTAGCCTATGAAATGTATATTTTGAAATGGATATTGCACATAGCACGACTGACATTGCCTTTTTGAAGCCTTGGGTTTGGCATTTTGGCTGTCTCAATGTTTGCCTCTTTTGGGCGTGAGAACATATAATCTTACTTGGACAGGAGAACAGAGTGATAGGTTATCAGTCAACATTAGCTAGCTTGGATACCAAGATGCATCCATAGACTGCATGGGCCCTTTGCACAGACACAAATACCTGTTAAATAGTGTTCAATGACCTACAAAAGTGGAGCTCAGATAAGGACAGGCTGTTTGTGTATGTAACCGCACAGTAATGCACGACCACCATGAACACAAAAAAGGAAGTGAAGCCTGGTCAAAAGAACCTTCCTGCCAGACTGTCTAGCTTTTTTAATAATGCATACATTAAGTCTTAATACAATTTACAGTACTGAGTCTTGTCTCTTACAGCAAAAGTCTATTTTTATTTATATTTTGCTTTCAAGGAGACAGACTAGTAGTTTTGAGCGATAGTTCTCAAGGATTTCTTTCTTCTTTGGACATCCGCTGATTTTTCACTTCTTTTTAGTTCCGTCCTTGTACCTGGCCATTTTAAGAGTATTTTTTTTTCTTTGTTAAGAAATACTGACCTATGAGAAAGTCACCTAACTCAAGGGATGAGCAGGTGTTGTCTCTGCACACCAAAAAACAGTTTGTTCCAATTTCTTTAGCTGAGTCTATGAAAAATATCACAGTTTTGTGATGAACACAAAACCATATTTTTATATCAACAAGGTGATTCCCAGAGATCTATTAGTGGAAAACGTTCCCTATCTTGGCATGCTGTGCAGTCACCTAAAACACTGAGGAAACTGGACAAGTGGAAGACAAAAAGGGAAGTATCAGGCCTAAAAACCTGTCTACAGCAGCTCAACAGTATCTGAAAATCGTGTCTTAACCTCCTAAGACCTGAACTCTTTCATGGCATGTATTTTCAGTCTCTCTTTGCTATTTGGGCTGATTGGAACCTGATGAATGTAAAAACAAAGAATTACCAGGGGGGTGTTGCCGAGCTGCTAGTTCTGAGAAAAATGAGATTCACATAAGAGGACATTTGCTTTAGATTTTGATAGAACAGTGGCAGTGTCTTTTATCCTGTCTTCCTTCTCTCACCCCAACCGGTCGCAGCAGATGGCCGCCCCTCCCTGAGCCTGGTTCTGCCAGAGGTTTCTTCCTGTTAAAAGGGAGTTTTTCCTTCCCACTGTTGCCAAAGTGCTTGCTCATAGGGGGTCATATGATTGTTGGGTTTTTCTCTGTATCTATGAAGCGCCTTGAGGCGACTTTTGTTGTGATTTGGCGCTATATAAATAAAATTGAATTGAATTGAATAGTGTACTCGTAAGTGGATATCAGGCCGTTGTAGAGCAAAATTTAATACTTTGGTCTAGACAACCCAAAATGTGATATCCGCATATGTGGACGCCAGGTCCTAGGAGGTTACGAAGTATGAAAAAATTCCAGCACAGACCTTCCACAGTACCTGAGAGATGCATCAGGTCTTTTATCCAAATTTGAAAATTTTGGTTCAAATGCTCATCAGTATGTAGAAAGGAGGTCAGGAGAGAGGTACAACAATGAGTCTCTACAACTGTAAAGCATGGTGGAGGCTCTGCCCTGGTTTGGGCTGCATGTCAGCCAGTGATGTTGGATATCTCGTCAAAAACCGATGAAATTACGAACATAGAAAAGTGACATCATCATCATATTTTGATCCGCCATTGTTAAAGCATCTGATTGGCAACAGCTTCATTGTTCAGTATGACAAAGATCCCAAACACGCTGCTAGTGTAGCATACCTGGTCATACATGGTCATACCATTGGCTTATCTACTCTATTTCCATGTATGTTTGCACATGTTTCAATAAAGTTTTGCACCTATTTTACTCACAAAATATAAACCAAAAAAAAGAGGGGTGACTCAAGACTTTAGCACAGTAATGGAAATGGGTGAGATATTTCCAAATTTAGGAGGAAAATATGCTACAGAGACCAAAAGGAGGCTGTAAAAAGTTTCACTTCTCCTCTGATGTCTTTCAAAATGGGACCCCAAGTGGACTGACTGCTTGAAGTTGCAACTTTTGTTGAGCTACTAGTTAAGAGTCTGCATTGCACTCGTATACTTTATGGATAACTTAGCACTTCTCCCTCTCATTCAAATACAATCGCATTGGTTACATTAAAGCCTCAAATCGGAGTCTAAAACCAGTGGGTGAAACACATCTTTCACAGTGTCTGTGGAAGTGAACCCCTTTTACAGTCAGCCTCAAGTGTCATTTGGGGAACTGTAATTTCTTATGGTGTCATATTAACAACCAAATGAGGACACATAAAAAATATTGCCAAGAGCAGATGTCCCTAATATGGCCATCTCAGGTACACAGCACTACCTGTGAGCACATAAGCCCCGCCCACCTGCTGTTAAGATCTTCTGTTTTTCACAGGCAGCCAATCAGAAGAAAGTTGGCTTAAAGGTAGAAGCAAAAAAGTTTCAGTGGATGAACTGAAGTGCTGCAAAGAGACCCAGGATGAGATGAATTGTTCTGAACAGCAAATCGTGCAAAATGAAAACCTCAGAAAAAAAAAAATCAAGCCGCAAATGAGCTTTCAAATCTTTATCATTACATTTCTCAAGGGTGCAGTGTATCAAGTTAGTCATCATGCGTGAAATGTGATTACAGAAGTTCCGATTTTTGCTTGCCACCGTGAAAGATGAGACTGGTCTGCACTGCTCGCTCTGCTGGATTGTCATTTTTCTAAGCGCTTGCCTGGAGGCCGTGGCGCTAATGAGATCACAGCAAAACTTACATCCTGCAATACAAACACTGTTGCCCCCTGATGCCATATATTCAACACATATAATTTCATAATGATAACAGTCACGCAGGCAAAGAGAAGTAGTTAAATGCCTTTCACGGTCTCCTAGTTTTCCGGTTGTGTGTATCACATTTAAAGCCCCATTGATCATCTCCCATCTCCTTACCCAGGAGTACGTGCAGTTTTTCAATCACAAACTGGGCCGCAGCGTGAGCTGGGGAGACAGGATGGAGTTCATCAACGGCTGGTACATTCTGCTCATCGTCAGTGACACGTTCACCATCATCGGCAGCTTCATCAAAATTGGGATAGAGTCCAAGGTAACAAGATGTGAGAGGGTGTGCAGCTTTGTGCACACTGTAAAAGAAGCTTCTTTTTTTATTCACCTACTGAGATGTAAAATTCCCAGTTTTCAGTAAGTTATGATAATTAATGATGTCTTCCTTGTGATGCAGAATCTGTCATCATATGATGTTTGTGGGATCTTGCTGGGAACATCCACTCTGCTGGTGTGGGTGGGAGTCATCCGCTACCTCAGCTTCTTTCAGAAATACAATGTATGTCAAGCACACACACACAAATATGGAAAATATTATTTAACACAATTTTTTTTAATATAATATTTTAAAATGTATTTACAGTTAGTTAATTTGGTTTCTCCCACAGATCCTGATTGTGACTCTAAGAGCTGCTTTTCCCAATGTCATCCGCTTCTGCTGCTGTGCGGCCGCCATTTATTTGGGATATTGCTTCTGTGGCTGGATAGTGCTGGGGCCCTACCATGCAAAGGTAATGCACGGACACACAGCTGTGTCTCTAAGCAGGAGTGAGCAGGCGTGAGTCACTCGGAGCAGAATTGCATGTCAGAGCATCCTAATTATGATAAACTGCCTCCCAGCATGTCATTTTTAGCTATGTATAATTAATGGGAGGAGAAAATTGATAGTTATTAAATATGAATCAGGCAGCATTTTGTTAGGATATTGCTTTTTGCATGCAAGCAAAATAATGTAATCAATTCTGGTGGAAATATATGGAGGGCCAGCTTTCCTGAAATTAAAAACAAAATGAATAAAATGAAATAATTAAATGGATCACAAAATAAATAAATATGCTAATATGTGCATCAAAAATACCGTACATTACCTAATTCAATGAATGTGAAATTAACTGATATTTGCCTTTCACACAGAAACATTCTCTAGAAGTCAATTTTGTAGTCCGTGCCAAAAAGATAAATAAAAACACCGAAAGACTGCAAAACTTTCTTTTTTAAATGATTGTGCTAACTTGGACTCCATGTATCCAGTTTCGCTCCCTGTCCATGGTGTCAGAGTGCCTGTTTTCTCTGATCAATGGAGACGACATGTTTGTAACATTCGCTGAGATGGAGCACAGCAGCACGCTGGTGTGGACCTTCAGCCAGATCTACCTTTACACCTTCATCTCCCTCTTCATCTACATGGTGCTGTCACTCTTCATCGCACTCATCACCGGAGCTTATGACACCATCATGGTACAGTTGCTGCTTTGTTTCTTTATTATACTGTTGGGTGGTGGTTTGAGTGCTTTTTCTAATCATATGAATTGGGTTACAGAAATGCTAAAATCTAAAAACAAAATTTTTTCCCATCAACGTCTCCTCTACTTTGCCAATTTCCCAGTGCCAATCTGCGAAATCAAGATAATGATCGTACTTATTGGTTAATACTGGTAAATGTAATCCGACGTTAATGCAGGATACTTGTGCAGTTATGTATTGATTTATTTTTACCGATAAATACGGGGACTTTATTTAGTAAGTGACAATAGCAGTTTGAAAATTTGCAGCTTTTTTGTCTTCCTGCAGGCCCAAACACAGGAGCAGGCACACATCACAGATCTACATGCATTCATTGCACAGTGCATGGACACGCCCAGTTCTGGCAAGTTCCGTGCACCCGAAGCCTCATCGTGCTCCTTCCTCTGCTGCTGTGAGTGGTGAGGACAGTGACCTAGTAGAAGCACAGAGGGAGTAAGCAGTGTGTACATTGAAGGACATGGGAGTCTTTCTTTCCCTCCATCTTTAAATCTTTTGTCCCCTGCTGACCCTGTTTGAATTTTGCATTTTAATTTGTGCTGGAACGGTAGATTGCACTGAACACTTAAAGGCCCAATTACCTGCTTCAGCTTTTGTACTGTACTGTATGAATAATTTATTGTCTTTCTGACTTGTCAGGTTGGTCAGGCTTTGATGGCTAGAAGCATAATGTCGGTAAACAAAGGCTGGACACCGGGTCTGTCGGGTCAAATTAGGATGCATTTTCGCTTGAATGATCAACCATTTACAGGGTTTTCATGATCATTTTATTGTTCGCATGGCTACTTAGGCAAAAGGATTTTTATACGTCTTGATTATGTAAATATATGTATGTCTTGTGGAATTTAGGCATAAGGGTGAAGTCAGGCAAACTGGAAAAAAAAAAGATTGATCATTAACTGCAGTACATGTGCTTTGGCTAACAGTCAAGGCCATTCTTTCACTCCAGTTCAGTTTGCTTGCTCCTCATCTCCATTGTTCACGTCCTCCTGTGACTGGAAGGAGATGATAGCCGTGTGAGGAAGGACAAGCCCTACGGCCAACCGGCTAGTCATCAATATGTATGAACCGTTTTCGCTATAAGGTGGCAGGTGTAGGTCTGTGCTAATGCACTGCAAGGCAGGGCGTGTGAGGTTAATGTGCTGCCTTACAAACACACAGTAACTACTGAAGATGATAAATAATTTTATGCCTTTTTATGTTAATTGGTAGTAGACCTTTTTCACAGCAGCCTTTTAGCAATGAAATATGTAAATGTAGGCATTGTCTAATGACATCAGTGATTTTTTTTCCCCTTAATACCTGCATTTATGTTTATATTTAATGTCAGAATGGCTGCACTAAAAAAATCTTTAAATTTGTTGTAGCTGTTGGACTAAGAAAAAAATGAAGGAAAAAAATGAAAGAGACTATTCAGTACCCAAATGAATTTTTGATTCCCCTTCCCTCTCTTGTTCTTTTCAGCCAGTGACTTTTAATGGTTTAAAAATACATTCAAATGTTTGATTTAAATGTAGCTTAACCATGTGATCTCACAGGAATTGCTCTGGTTCTGTTTACTGCTACTCTGCTAAGCTAGGCTAATTTTGTTTTTCTTGTAAATGAGAAGAAGTTGGCTAAATTTGCTTTAACTAAGGCAGTTTTGGCTAGTAGCTTTTATAGCTACGTTACAGTCACAAGACTTTGGTTTTAACTGTTCTTGTTCATTTTTACTCTTTCCCCCCTCATTTCTTTCCTAATTACACAGCTGTACAGTATAACAATATTACAGGGAAAATCTCCAAAAGTCAAATGCCAGTCCAAAAATCTTCCTTTCTAATATTTCTTGAAATATATAGCTAATACTTTTTGTCTTTGTATGCTAGTTTGGATTGTAAGCAGCATAGTTGTGTCTCTATTTTAAATAATGGTTCACTTAGACTCTTTCTGTTGAAGCTATGTGGGAAATGGCTCCATTATTTTATTCATGAATGGATAAGGACATCTCTTGAAGTACCTATATAAACTTGAAGTAGCGGTGAAGATGCAGTATGCTGCATAGGGTGATATGAACGGCTTTCAGTGCACAAAAACTGGATCAGAACAACAGTAACAAGGGGTTTTTGAAATGCAACAGATATCTGGCATTTGTCTTATTTTTAATGTAAACTTATTTGTTTTCTTTGATATTGTTTACAATTATAAAGAGGGTTTTTTTAAAATGGCATTTCTGCAGACGTATTTATTTCCTCTTAATTAAAGACCGATGCACAACTTAGAATAGTGATATAATGTGCCACATAGGAGTTGTATATCACAGTGGAACAATGCACTATAAATGCAACATGTTTGTTAGTGTTCTCCTGACACTTGTAGAAAAGCTCTTTAAGTCTGTTTTGATTTAATGGGAACAGCTGTGCACTGTGTTTATTTGGCTGCTTTTTTTTCATGCTGTCTTAATTATTTTTTACCTAATTTTGAGAACGTGCAAGATTGCCAGTCTGAGGAATTTGTACAGGTTTTTACTTTCTTTTTTGTGAAGATGGTGTCTTCTGAACGCAAAATAAAAAAGAATATAAAAAATGTCGTGGCTCGGTCAGCACTGATGACATCTCTTGGACTAATCCTAAATAAATTGGGCAATTTATGTGAATGAAAACAAATAACACAATATTTTCTTTTCAAAATGTCTGAAACTTAGCAGCTGCAAAGTTTAAAAAATAAACACTTGCACTGCAGTCTGATGAACTTGCGCTGTGTTGTGGTAGTCTGGCACCACTAGAGGGAGAGAGCAGGCTCTTGTCTGAAGCCAACTGCCAACCAGTCACAGGAAATCTATGCAATACGAAGCAATAAGGAAATAACAGGAAGCCAAAACACAGGCACTTTGGTGGACAAGAGCGGGGGGATAAAACATCATCCTTATAAAAGCTAAATTACGCTGAGTAGAGTACTTAAAACTTTGAGTCTGCCATAATCACAAACTACCTTGCAACTCAGCATGAAATAAATAGAGGAAGCGGGCGGCTGTTTCAGCTAAATCAAAACCACACAGTGAAGATGGGAAGTAGATAGCATGTGATAGACTAAGATCAAAGCAGATGCTCCTCTTAGTGAGGTGAGCTGCTACAGCTTTCCAATATCCTCAGAACCTGCATCAATTATTCACTCAAAGATGCAGCCAAGGGCTGGCTGAGGAACTGGCCAGCCTGCTCTTAACATCATCAGATTTTAGCCTGGAGCTGATTAAACAGTCCCAAAGAGAAAGCAGGCTGCAGGGCGAAGCCTTGCAAATGGCTTCTACCTGGTCAACTATATTTGCATGCCAAATATAGTTGACCAGGGCCTTTTTGAATAAAGGACCAGAGCAAAAACCACAGTGGATATGAATCCTTGCAACGAGATATGACTGTCACTATCATCACTATCGTGCTCTGTGGGCGACAGATACACACAAAAGAACACGCCTGCTGTGTGATGATGGCGCGTTAATGAGGGTCTCGTTGCCTTCCTTCATCACATGTTGCCTTTTAGTGGCTGTAGAAGCATCCTGTATGTTAATGACATGCAGTGCTGGCACGTTGTTGTCTTCAGGGAGTCCACGCTGTGCACAGAGAGCAGCAGCTGCACTGGCGTGCACTAACCTGCATCCGCTTGGTATTTGTTCACACGTACACACCCTGTTTGTGAGATAATGATATTCATGCTATTGGAGTGTGAAGTGCTGTGCAGGGTGATCGCTCTCATGCATTTGGGAGACACTTGTCTGAAAAGGGGGTTGATTTGTGAATATCTTTAGGGGAAAATAAAGGGTGTGTCTCTTAGTGCCAGCTGCTTTCCTGGGTGGCTCGAGAGGGCTGGCAGCAGTGGTGTGCTATACTGCAGATTTTGATATTGATCAGATAACAAATAAATGGCGCCGGTGTTGCCGATACCATTACCGATGATTTTTACTCATAAAGACAGCTTATGTACAGGAGAGCAGTGCGCCATGATTTATGAGATGAGGTTTATTTTTCAAAACAAAGGACAAATGTGCAAATTCTGAGCCTACATGTTGCTGCTCAGTACCGCCGAGTCATGTGACTGCACCACAACTAAAAAAAGCAGAGCAGGGAGGAGAGGGCAGCGCAAAGTGTGCCAGCAGGAGAGGAGTGGTGTTTGCACAGACATGTCTCCTTCTGAAATTAGAGGAGACAAATAAGCTAAAGCATCGATCATGTTGTGATGATATCGATCTAATACCAATACCGGTGTTGGTATCGATACTATCGACATTTGGATCAATCCGTCCAACCCCTAACTTGCAGGCGGTTCAGGCATCCCAGAAATATCATCACACCAAACCCTAACCCCATAACCCTAACCACAACCCATTTTTGTTTGTTTTTTCCACATTGGAAATCTATGACATCATAACAACATGACTGGTGACTTGCACTGCTGAACCTGGACCAACATTAATTATAATGACACAGGGACGACACCAACACTGGGATGCATCAGATACACTCGAGATTCAGACCTCTGTGCAATCTGACTGGTACATGCTGGAATATGTGAAACACAATTAGAGCATGCCTGTATCTGCTGCTTGTTAAATAACTAATGTGTTGTGTAAGAGTTTTGCAAAAAAGGTAGCAGACTCTTGACCAGCGGCCAGATTTGTTTGGTTTTTGTTGATGGGGGGGCTTGACTGAGCGCCAGCCCCTTTTGTGCTGCAGCCGCCCCAGCTGGACTGCGGGCTGTGTGGACAAAAAAACAATGAGGTAAATAACACGGGAACTGTGCAGCAGGGTACACGGCCCTGCCTCTTCCTGTCTCCGGTGCCGCACACCACCGCCTTCCTCTCTTTGTTGCACCCGGTTAACCATGCCAATACGTCCGTCAGCATCAACTTAGCAGGCATCGAACGCACCCGAGTCCCTGCCTTCTTCCTGGTCTCCTTCCATTCAGTTGCATTCTTTATTGACGCGACAAAATTCACACATTTCTACAGTATGTGGCTGTAATCTTCATCTGTCATTTGAATAAACAAAACAAAAAAGCAACTAACTAATCTTGCAGGATTTCTTGTTGGTGTGAGACAACACAACACACCCTCTTCAAACACACAAATCTGAGGTCAATCCACTTTGCAGGAAGAGAAACAAAGCTTCCACTGGACATCTGATCGAGAGGGATAAAGGGCGATAACAGGTTTTCATGCAAGCAGGTGATCGGCGTAGTGTCATACATCGAGTCGTACATTTCCGCCCTGAGCTCAGGCGAGAAACACAAGCCTGAATAAATCTCACCTCTGGAAAAGGTGAGATTTATTCAGCACTTGGAAAAGGAAGAGCACACCACAGGCTGGACATGAAAAGAAGCCTATCTTAGAACAGACCAGCACACAAAAGCCTGGCTCATGCAGACAGGAGGCAGGCGGCTGCTGGGAGCTAAGCAGCAGAGGCAGCAGCAGCAGACAGGCAGACAGACAGACAGGCGGCATGCCCACCCAGACTGTGTCTGATGAAAAGCTCTGTTCTGGTGAAGAGCACGCTGCACAAGAAACAAAAGCTTTTCAGGGAATGAAACAATGCCCTCCGGTATCTGTTTGTGACTTGAGAGAAAACGTGCAACTTTAACCAAAAGCCAGACACACTCTACGCTCTGCTCTTTAGTTGCCTTTTCCTTTCCCGCTGGCTGCCTCACCCTTTTCAATTAGTGTCATCCAATTTGAGATTTGTTCGCTCCAACTGGGACAGGCTGACGCGACGGGCAGGTGGGCATTTGGGATCTGGCTGGTGGAAATGTGACTTTGAGGACAAAAGAATGTTCAAGACCTTCCGGAAAAAACAAAAGAAATGTAATTTCAATTTGGAAACGCCTTGTGGGAGATGAACCTGTTAAGGAGAAACATGAAAAATATTCCAGATATTACAATCAACAGGTCTGAAATGCACTGAAGGTTTTTGAATTCTTGATGCAACAGTAGCACCGAGGGCAGACAATGCAGGCAACTTGATGCATGGGGTGCAGCAGTAATGTGTGTGTGTGTGAGAGAGAGAGAGAGCGTGCATGAGTGTGTGTGTTCAGTCGAGCATGGAGAATGGAAGAAAAGGGTCTGAGGGGCCTAGAGGGAGGGCAACAGACAGCCACGAGAAACTCGGACAAGAGAGTAGGGTGACTTGCAAGAGGTGACATCATCCTTTATTTGAATAATCCCCCAGCCTGGGAGGTGATTGGCTCCTCTTAGAGAAAGCAGAGCTCCTCTGCTGCTATTCACCCTTTTCAATTTCAGTATGGCGCGCTGTCCTGGTGAATGCTGC